GGTGTAAAGGTGTCTCTTTTATGCGTGAATTGTGACAACCTTTTTTTTTTATTATAAAGAATCAATGACATTCGGCCTTACTATTCTTAATTAATTAATTAATTTAATATTATATACATGAGTTTAAAAACATAAACTTATAGCAAATTGAACTTCGGCATTCACATTAACAAAATAATAAAACTTCTTGTATATTTTCATGTAACACCAAACTTTACATAAAATTTATATGTATATGTTCAACATATTGATTCATTAAGGGTTTTCAAAATACAAGGGTTCAAAATATAATTATATTCCTTTGCAAATTAAAAATCTAACAGTCTATATTTAATGTCTAAAATCTAGTACACAGAAGGATTAACATCCTGATCTTCCCAAAAGCTAACTCCAATGTCTCTCAGCCAAACCTTCCAGCTTGAGGAGTAGATGCGTTCCATGTACCTTCTGCCCACGAACCATCGTATGATCATTGCAGCACAGACACATACTAACACAACAAAATGCAAGGGTGAGCTTATATAATTGACAATCTCATTCATGAAATATGAATGAATATAGATAAAATTATTTAAACAAATCATAATAGTTAGCACACAACATTGCACAGCTTTAATAAAACAATGCAGCATGTCCAGCCATTCCTAGCCCATCTAATGCAAATGTAGCGATTCAGTTTTCATTTGGTTTCACAGCCTAAGTAATCCAAAGGAACTGTTCCAGTTTGGGAGCGACCCATCCTGGTATCTGAATCCAAACACATCACAACTCAATGTCCTAGGCAGCTCTAGGATGATAATGATAAATGTAATGTAGTACAGCTTAAATCAACATGTTACAACACAACAAATATTTCATTTTTAGTCTCAACAGTATAATAAAATCAGCATATTACAACACAACAAAATTTTCATTTTCAACTTTAACAACTCAGCCATATATATTTTCACAGCAAAGCTCAGCATTTCAATATACAGTACACAATGAAAATTAAGCAGCTCAAAATACTAATTAAATATTCCAGTATATATTAACACTCTCGGGTCGTATATCACCACATTCCAGCATGTTATATTTCATCATGGTTTTCTAAATAATCATCAAACACGCCGAGAAATCTACTTAACTACACAGACTCTGGGTTTTAGCCCAAAATTAACTCATACAGCCCACTATTCTCAGCTAGAATGAAATAATTTATATAAACATCACGGTCTCTACTAAATGAACTAGATTAAATCAGGTAAGTTTCCTTTACCTGGAATGAGTTCCAAGATAGTGCTCCTAGTGGGTTCCGTAGAGAGAGATCGACCGTTTAGGTGTGGAATACAGCTTGAACGGTTCAAATATACTCAAAATAACCCGATTTAAGTCCTTTGAGAAAGAGAAAGAAGAAAACAAGGTAAAAACTAAAATCTGAGCTCCAAGAACTCACCTAGATCTATATGAGGTAAAAGATCTCGCTTTGTTCAAGAAGGAATTTGACTTCGAGAAGGTTTTTTCTAAGGGTAATAGGAGAGAGAACAGAGAGAAAATGAGAGAGAGAGAAGCTGTCTGGTGAGAAAATGAAGTTTTTGGACGCTGAGGCCCGTTAAATACCCTTACAGCCCGCACGCTCTCGCTTAAGCAAGCTACTTTTCACTTGAGCGAGCTCTGCTCTCAACTGGGCGAGAAAACCAAATAGTGGAACCTCCCAAATTTCTGATATTCTCACTTGAGCGGAAACACGTCACTTAAGTGAGCTACATCTCGCCTAGGCGAGCAACATTCTCACTTGGGTGAGATTGCATCCAAAGAGTTACCTATTACTCTTGCGACACCTCGCTTGGGCGAGCACCTTTCACTTCAGTGATATCACCTCTTGTCTGAGTGAGATTCTTTCTCGCCTAGGCGAGGTTACAGCTGAGGCAATCCTATCTGCTCTCGCTTAAGCGAGACTAATCTAGCTTGAGCGAGATACCCTGTACCCAGATTCCAAAATTTCTCTTCTGAATGAAATATTACAAATTCTTAATCATACTTTCTACGTTATTCAAACACTCAACACATTTAACAATCATTCTTCCATTCACACAGCACTTCACATATATTAACATCATCATACAGCTCAACAACTGCTTTGTTCCTTATCCGACAATCACACAACCTTTATATTTCACATTCCAACATATAAACAATTCTTATAGTTCAAGGCTACGCAGCTCTAATCAATTGACATAATAATAAATACATATAATTACACTAATCTAACATGACCTAATGCTTGATGTGTGTTTACTTAATAAATATACATTTTTAGTTGACTAAATGGAAGAAAATTTTCACTTAATTGCAAATTTCTTGTTTAAATTTATGAATTTTGATGTGATTTTAGATTTGAGAATTCAAAGGGAGGAAAATTGAAAGATATAGAAGTTTTAAGTGAAGTTTGGAACAAAAATAAGACATTCAAATTTTAATGAGCTCACATTTTGAGTTTGAAGTTGAAAAAATGGATGCACGTCAGGACATGCAATTTCTAGTATTCTCATTTTCGATGCTTTAAAAATTACTCAAAATCAATGAAAGTTATACGAGTCTTGACATTCAAAAATTAATATCCTCACATCATGGTGAAACAAATAATTCAAAGCACGAGTTAAGACATAAAACATTTAATGTCCTCACATTCTACACATAAAAAACAAACAACAATTTGTAAGGAAAATTGTTCAAAACTAATTCTTTTGAAAATTTTCTATAATCTTCTAGAATTTGGAACCAAAAAACTTTACAATAATCCATCTTTGAGTCTGAAAAACTCTAAAAATAGTTGAAGATATTCAAATTTGAGGAGTTTTAAAACAAGCACTAAAGAATATTCATTATCATACAAACACCTTCCACAACATCACTTTTATTTTATCATCTTCAAATGCTTTTAACACAAAGTTCATTATAAAATGTAAAACAAGAGGGAAAAAAAAAAAAAACAAGAAGAGAAGATGAATAAAAACTTGAACTTTTTCAAAAAGTGTTAGTGTTTGTTTGTCATTTGATTTAAATCAAAATCAAAATCAAAATCAAAATCCATGAAGATAAAAAAGAAATACAAGATGAGAAAAAAAAAATAAACCTGTGTCGTGAGAAAGTTAGCAAGTGTTATGCTTACTTAGGTGAGTATTAGTAGTGGAAATGTTTATAAATTCATTTAGTTTAAAGAACCCTGAGATTTATTTATTTTTCTTAATTTATGATATTGTCATTAATAAAAATTGAAATTTCTCTATGCTTTTAGCAATTTTGAAAAGAAAAATAAAAAAAATAATTAAAATAATTTAAAGCTATTATTTTTTTAGTTTTAAAAATTGAAAATGAAAATTTATTTTAAAATTAGTTTTTAAGAACTTATGTTAACAAATAAGTTTTATTTAAAAAATTATTTTAAAAATAAGAAAACAAATAACCCTTTAGAAAATGACATTATAACTAATATATTTATAATGCTATTATCTAATTATTCTTTTATAAATAATTTGAGGACAAAATGCAATTTAGAATGAAAGTTTAGAAGTAAATTTTCCTTTTTTTTAGCCCAATATTTTCAATAGCATGTACATATATAACCTAATAACACCCTAAATGACCTGGGCAAAGTAACCTCGACAAGAACGTAAGTAACTTCGGCCAAAACTGATTTAACATCACATCAATAACTCTAGTTATAACATAATTGTCCTAACAACACCATAAATGACTTCGATTAGAGCACCCTTGACAAGAACACAAGTGATTTTAGCTAAAATTGGTTCAATGTCACACCGTTGACTCTAGTTATAATAAGCTTGCCTTGACAACACCACAAATGTTCTCAGCCATAGCACTCTCTATAAAAACATAAGTGACCTTAGACAAATTTCACATCATCGAACAATCACCCTCACTTCGGATTAAACCTACTTTAGACTAAGTGATGAACTAATAATAAAGGTGGAATAAATAAGCTTCCTTAGAACCTGTCCTATCAGTGAGCATGGCTCAAGCACAAAGCCCTAACTATTAGGAGGTCTTACCGCCTAAAAGCTTTGGAAAAATTTACTTTGCCTTATGACCCACTGGTATGCTACTAATCTTGTAGCTATGTGTCAAAGGCTATTAATGAAGACTCAAACCCATAGAAAACCAACGACTATATAAAGAAAAGAGTTCATGGACTTAAGTTCTTTTCTCCTCCTTAGTATCACCATCATTCTGACCAGATATTATCTCTAACTTGGACATTGTAGTATTTCTTAAAGAATACTCCATTTACTCATCGAAGCTATACTAGAATATCACTAGCAATCACCACTCCTTTGTGTTTAAGACACCTAACCTATTAGAACAAGTTTTAAATATACAAATCAAAGTGTAGTTATAAAATTCTTAAGGTTCAAGATATAATTTCAAAATGTTTAAGGGTTATAGCAAAATTACAAAAAGTTTATAAGTCAATTTATAGTTCTTAAAAAAGTAAGTTAAATTAAAATACATTTTACGTTATTTATAAATTTTATCTAGAAGTAAAAAGCACATAATTTTTATTTATACAGGAATATTAAAATTATATTATAACTCTTATATCTATTTGTAATAAATTATTTTCTTATTATAAATGTATTATTATCTTAATTTTATTTATTTTTAAAACAATATTTGTTTAACTAAAATATAATTTAAAACATTTTATATCTTTTATAATTTAAACTTTAAATTTCCGTACCATGCACCAGTCATGTATAATTCCCGGAGTTTATCTACCAATTTCTTTCGTAGCCACAGCTTCATAACTTAAGGTTTTGTTTTATTCTGCAATAATAAAAACATGCAACCTTTGGATCTTAGCGAAAAGGCACCATCATATTTAATTATTATGACCCTTATAAAATACTAAAATAATTTGTCTGACAATAGTATAACTAATTCAATAAATTTCTTCCCACGTTTGTTCGATTGTGGGTCTGAAACAGTGGAACATCCTGGTTTGCATTGTTTTGGATTCCTCACATACAAGTGAAGTTCATTTGGTAATTCTACTTTTCCAATCTCCATGTTTTCGAGCGTTGACTTTTTGGTTTTGACTTATATATGCACGATTATTGTATTACTTTTATAGTGCTTACTTCAGTTGGTGGTTCTTATTTATGAAAGATTTGATTTGATTAGGAAATCAATAGGCAGAGTCTGTCATTGTTGGTGATTAATTATATGATATACTTAAATCTCTATTCGCATTTTCAACAGCTTACCCTTCAATTTGTCTGGCTTGCAGTTCTTGTGAAGAAAATATGGAGCCAGAGTGTGCAATTAAGAAGGATGCCACTGAAGTAGAGCTACTTTTTAATCCTCCTTTGACCTTGACAATCTTAAATATTCGGCCACGCTTGCATTATTTTTTGTTTAGTTGAAAACAATTATCGATTTATATTCTTCCCTTCGTTGTGCAGTTAATAGGGAATACCCCAATGGTATATCTGAACAACATTGTGGACGTGTGTGTTGCCCGTATTGCTGCTAAACTAGAGTACATGCAAACCTGCTGTAGTGTCACAGATAGGCATGTAATTTCTTGATTTTACAAACTTGAGCTGGCTGGAACTGTAAGGTTTTAAGATTTTCATTTGAGAATTTGTCATGATAATGTTCTTTTTCTCACTCAGGATAGCATTGAGCATGATTGAAGATGCGGAGAAAAAAGGCCTCATTATACCTGGAAAGGTTAGCTGTGTTGAAGTTAAGAGTGTGTTTAGTTTCACGTTTAAATGGTCATGATTCATGGTTACGTCAACAAATTTACTTTAATGCAGACTTCCATATCTATAGATTCTTTGTTAGGCCCCAAGCCTATAATGATACCTACACTTCTAGATATTGGACATTTCTCAGTCCATACCATAAATTGTCCATCATAGTCAATGAACATGTTTTGTTGAGATATTACGAGATTACTATGAATGGATATTTTGTTGCCTTTATTGTTGAATATAATAAGTTGAATAGTTTTGACTAATGGTTAAAAAGACTGTTCTGGTTGAGCCTACAAGTGGTAACACTGGCATAGGATTGGCATTCATAGCAGCATTGAGAGGCTATAAACTTCAGGTGGCTATGCCATCTTTTGTAAGTCTTGAGAGAAAAATTATACTGCGAGTCTTTGGAGCAGACGTATATCTGACAGACCCAGCCAAAGGAGTTGATGGGGTTTTTCAGAAGGCAGAAGAGCTACTATCCAAGACACCTGATAGTTATATGCTTCAGCAATTTGAAAATCCTGCCAATCCAAAGGTATTCACATTCCTGATTTGGTTGACGGATTAAGGAAAATTGCAGCTGAATAATTTGTTTTTCTTGTAGATTCATTATGAGACCACTGGCCCTGAGATTTGGAGAGACTCAGGAGGGAAAATTGATATCTTAGTTGCTGGGATAGGAACTGGGGGAACAATAACAGGTGTTGGACAATTCCTAAAGCAGAAAAACCCAGAGATCAAGGTTGATTTGTTTACCATGCATACTTTGTTGGATGGTAATGAACATGGGAACAATTTTTCTTAATATTTATCTATTCTAACTTTATGATTTCTTCTGCTTTCGCCCTAGTTGTATGGCGTGGAACCATCTGAAAGTGCAGTTCTGAACGGAGGACAGCCAGGTGATTTTACCATTCTGCTTGTTTCTCTCTGGTCTGTCGTCTTCAATTGCTATTTCAATGTAAAACTATTGGGTTCTATCTTCATATTTATGAAAAATTAAAAGCCAATACATCCAAGACGTGTTTGTTATATATTTCCATCTCTGTATCACAATATATAGAAGTAAATTTGTTATGTGCACTGAACAAATGAATTGGAACCGAGTGGAACAAGTACAGTAAAATCGTGCTATCTTTTGACTCTGAATAAATTCTGCTCATCTGAGTGATAAACAGTATGTCACTTTGGAATTACTATTTTATTTCTTGAAGTAGTTAAGTTTTTCTTGGTTTCATTAAAATGAATCAAATCATAAAGAAAGTTGCTTTTGAATTTGGATTTTAGATTTTGAATTTGAATTTAAAATTTGGATTTTTATCTTTTATCTTTTTGAATGGAGATTTTAGAATTGACGACTCCTCTCTCTCTCTCTCTGTGGCTTCTCTACACTCAAATCCTAAGCCTCCATCAAGACTTCGCCACCATTCACATTCACATTTATATCATTTTCTTATTCCATACCAATCGTTGCCTCCATGGGATTTTTAAGAAGTAACGTTCTCTATCACAGAATTAAGTTTCTTTAGGAGTATATCAGCCACATAGTTTTTCTTTTCCTTTTGTTTAGAATTGGTTTATGTTTAGTTTCTTATCATTACAATGACCATCATCTGTAACTGTACACTCTTACCATGAAGTTGAGGTGGATTCTTGTAATGTAATTCTTTTTAAAGTCCAGTTTAATATTATAATATTGATGTTATTTGTCAATTAAAATTGTCTCATTAATGTTTAAAAAAAGTGTTACAAACTAGAATTCATTTAAGTCTCATGACAAGAGGTATTTAGTTACGTATGATCATAGAAACTAAACATAAATCATTCATAATCTTAAACAAAAGGGAGAAAAAAACCTGTGATTGATTTGCTCTTAAAGAAACATCAACTTTGTGATGGAAAACGTCATCTCTTGGAGATCCCGTGGAGACAACTAGGAGAAGGAAATGATGTGTATTTGAATGGTTGACGAGTTTTGGATGGAGGCTTAAGGCTTGAGTGTAGAGGAGACAGAGAGAGTTAGAGTCTCCCATTCCAAAATCCAAATTTCAAATTCAAAATTCACCAATTTTTTGCTTTTTTGAGCAACTCTTTTTTCATAATTTGACCTACTTTAATCAATTTGCATTATCACCACTCTGGGACAGAATGACAGTTATAAGTGAGCAAATATAAAACTTGGGCAAAACCTGCAGATACCAAGACAGTCCATATCTGTCAATTTCAATGTGCTTTTTACCTGGTGTATGGCTCTGGATTCCTCGAGAAAAGCATTTTTAATACTAAATTGCTTATTGGATCATCATTTGGCACATATTTGAGATATGCCAAAAATTAGAATATATATTCTGTCAAAAGTTGCCCAGACAAAATTAGAAACTCAAGCAGTACTATTAGACATTTGCAAGTGTTTTCCCATTTGTATATGCATGTTACATTGTTGAGTGACCTATATTGGAAGGTGGAAGCTGGGTCTCAGTTTTAATGTATTATTGTTATTCGTGTGAATTGTTATAGCCTGTCTTTCTTTAAGATGTCATACATAAATTATTAAAATTTTATTCTTTAATCTTGATCAAGTCCTTAAACAACCACTTGAGGCTGTTTGTTGACTGTTTTTTTTTTTCCATTGGGTGTCGAAGGTAAGCACCTGATCCAAGGAATTGGTGCCGGTATCATTCCCGACCTTCTAGATGTTAATCTCCTAAATGAAGTTATTCAGGTGGCTCGCAACGCTCATAAATTGGTTTTCAATTTTGATCGAAAAACTGGCTACTTCCGTTCATTTAGATTAAGCTCTCTTTCTCTCTCTGTGCCCAAGCATGACTTCGTAGTTTGTTAGTGTTTTGCTCTGAATGTACTGGAATTATACATGAAGATCTATCTCACTTACCATTAAATGACTCAACAATATGGAAAAGTGGAAGTGAATATTAGTTTAGTAATTGTTTCTAATTTATGAAAGAAGTTTTATTCAATTTTTTAAACATAAGTTGTTTGTATGAAAGATTTATTCATTTTTTATAATAATTTTTTTCTTTTGTAAGAACTTTTTCAGAAGTTTATGCAAACTGGGCCTTACTATCTTATTGAATTTACTTTGGGTTAAGCATATTCTGAGCATGCTCAACCTAAATGCTGCTCTTTTTTATCATTTTCTCATATCTGACACTTGAGGTAGTTTTGTTGATTTTAATCGCTTGGCTGTTTGTCAATTTTGGTATTCATGTCTGTATCTTGACAAAACTTTGTATTTCCCTTTTCTTGGGCATCATAATATCCTTGGCATATATTATACCAATAGTAAGGCATGGTATCTGGATTCTTGACGTTTATCAGCGGTTATATGCTATCTATCAATTTTCAATGACAGAGGTTTTAATTCTAAATCCTTAATGCTTAAAACATTGATAAGATTTTATGGAAATTACATAATGTTTCCTCTTCTAGCTACTAATATAAGGGATTCTACATTGACCAACAAGGTTTTTTGAACTGCAGGTTTCAAGTGAAGAGGCTATAGAAACTGCTAAGCTGCTTGCCTTGAAAGAAGGTTTGCTGGTATGAAAACAATAATGTGTGATACCTGTTATTGGCTTTACAGTAATTTCCACACGGTTTTTCCTGTTAAATATGAACTCCGTACATTTGCAATTGCAAATAAGCAAATTATTATTTTTTGTGCTAATTATGCCCAAGCCTTTTGTAGATGGGAATTTCGTCAGGAGCTGCAGCTGCAGCTGCAATAAAGGTGGGGAAGAGACCAGAAAATGCAGGAAAGCTCATTGTTGTAAGTTTGTAATCTTCAATAAGTTTATATGTTGTTTAGCCGTTGAATTGCAGATTATTAGTTAATGTCAATGCTGAATCGTTGTTGTGCAGGTGATTTTTCCCAGTTTTGGAGAACGTTACTTATCTTCACCGCTGTTTGAATCCATTAGGCATGAAGCTGAACAAATGACATTTGAATAAAGGTGCATAAATAGCTCAAGAACTCTCATTGACATTGAGTACTCGTTAAGCAAGCTCTACTGTCGTTTTTGTGGACTACGATAAATTGAATGACATTTAGATTGACACTTGAAGCTTCAATTTCTAGCTTATGAAAATAAGCCCAACGTAGCTTATATAGGATTTCAAAAGTTTTTGTGCTTATCCTAACTGAATCAAAGTAAGATTCTCGTGTAATTCCAAATAAGTTAAAACCAGACTCTTTTCAGTGGAGCCTAAGGTCAGAAATCCATAAGCACTGGGAATATATGTTATTGTGTGCAGGGAATTTTAATCTAAGTAAAGTTTTGGATCTATGTTTGACGTTTGTGTTTGGGGTGTTCATCAGATCATAAAGGCTTTTGTTAAGCCTTCTTGTTTTTAATTTGACTTTATTCCTTCACATATTACAATTCCTTAACTATCCACAGCCAGTTTCGGAGCAGGATTTGGATCACAAATCAATAAGATATACAATTTTTGTTGAAGTTATCATAAAATCATAATTTTCTCTGCTAATAGCCACAAAAGTCTTTTTGTTTTGAATTAATTGCATATGATTTTATTGACATGCACTCATATTTTTGTGTTTCTTATGAAATAACCTTTCCATCAAGTCATTTTGTGCATTGGAGTTCATTTGATCATTCAACAACATGCATGAACTAAGCATCTCAAATATGTCAAAGCATTTGTGTCAACAAAAACACAATTATACAAAATTATTATTCTGTATTTCTTGCATGCACAAAAAATTATTTTAAGCATGTCCTCGTAATCCTTAGGATTTTAGCTTTCAAACCTTTTTTCCTAACTCAAATTGAAGGTCATTTCTCCTACTTTTGGTCCAAAACTTATAAGTTGTCCAAGCCAAAATTCTGCAGAAATTATTTTTTTGATATTACATGCAACAACTTTCTTTCAATTTTAAAAAAAATTTTCATGAGAAAAACCTTTGCTAATCATTTTTTTTTTTTTGTATTCTTGATAATATTAGCTTTCTAACAAGCTATTTTAAGTTTGATTTGGATTCCAATTGTTGCCCCAATGAAAAAGGACAAGTTAGCAACTCATTCCTGAATCTTGACATGTATAGTCTGTAAAATTTGAATGTTGGGATTGATCTATACGTGAAAAAATTTTATGAAAACATTTTTTAAATTCTACATGTCTTAGTGTAACATCCTCAATTTCTTCATTCAAATAAATAAATTTATAGCGAATAAATAATAATAAAAAATATTTTATTTTTATTTATGGACTTGGGAATTGCACAAAAACAAAACTTACCCTTTCTTCTCATGAAAGTTTCATAAAATTCCAAAACGTTTAGGATTTCCAAGGGAATAATCTAAAACTTTAAAAGTAATAAATAAAACTTAAGTTTACATATAGCAACTTATTTGGTGTATATTGAATACATACAAATTTAAAGTTTCTACTAAGAACATTTCAAAAATATTCATTACAACCAAAATTTGTTCAAAGATTTAAGTTCTAAAATCTAACATTGAAATCATTTACAAACTTTGGTCAACATGAAATATAATTAGATAAAACAATACAATTTCTCAAATTATCTCAGTCCCTATAGAACACTCTTCCTTCCAATACTCTTGGATTATGATCCTAGGATGGGCCAAACATCTTTATCTCTTCACTTTCATTACCTGAAAATATTAGTAAGGATGAGTATCTCTTGCCTCACTAAATCTCTTATTTAACATAAGCAAAATAATCATATATATATATATATATATATATATATATATATATATATATATATAACACTAAAAATACTTTCTAACATGAATTGAATTAACACTGACACTCAAGTCATACAATTTACTATCATAAAAAAGTACACATAAAACAATAAATCGATCATATTTGCAAACTTTCATAACATACACCTTTCTACTAATCCATACATCATTATACATGTATTATCCCACGTTGATCAATATATCACAATACATGTGTCTTAATCGCACTCGTCGATGTATTACAACACATATATCATTACAACATCAACCGATATGTTACAATGCATATATTATAGTCATACAACTTCTACACTACTTCATATACATCTCACTTTCATGTCAATTTCACTTTCATATTAAATGCCCTTGAGATCCCTTGAGGACTTCATAGCTGCTGGTTAGCCCTAGCAACACAGATACACTGTGTTGTCCCAGCCCTTTTGTAGCAAAGGTATAGTCAAGAGACCCGTCAGGAGATAAGTGTGTGGCCTGTGAATGCCTTCACTTTCAGTAAATCATTGTGCATTTGTTCACACAGAGTGTAACGCCCCAAATTTTGTGATATTAATTATTGTTATTTATAAGTATAAATGTATATATATGTGTGTATAAGTATAAATGAATGTTGTAAATTTGCAATGAAGGCATAAGGATGGTGGTTTTGCGTGTAATGAGTATGAATATATGTATGAATATGTATGCGTGGGTGTGCGATTGATTAGATTGGATTCCCTGATGCTGAAAATAGGTTATGGGTGTAATATTGGACTGTCCTTGCCGTAGCAAGAGGATTCTCGTTGTAGTGAAAGGGTCCTGAAAGGAAGGACTGAAACTGTCGCCTTCTCACAGCAGCAAGAGATGTCTCGTTGTAGCGATAGAGCGACAGTTTGGGGTGCATTTTTTGATGCAGTCTCACTGTAGCGAGAGTGTCGCAATTTAAGGGGTTTTAAAAAGGGGTTTAGGGTTTGAGAATTCATTTCTCAAATTCTCTTTATTCTCTCGACCCAAAACCTTCTTCACCGATTAAATTGCCTCCAAAACTGTTCGGAAGCTTGATTGAAGGTTGAATCCGTGTGGGGAATGCTTGAAGGTGAGTTTTAATGGTTAGGGTTCCGTTTCTCATCCCCTTTTCTCTGTTTTTGGGTTTCCTTGGGTTCTCATGGAGTTCTTCTATGTGTTGTAGGCCGCAAATTGTGTAGGGAGCACGTTTGTGGTCGAATCCGAGTGTGGGTCCTCAACCCAAGGTAAGGGGGGACTCTACCCTACTCTTTTTATATGTAATTGATTGAATATGGAGTTGTGGCTGAGTTAGAAGGTAGAAAACGTGTAGAGAATGAAAGTTGATTGAGAAATGTAATGTGGGTCATGTGCATTGATATGTGAATATTGTGTGTGTTTACCCAAATTTGATGTATGTGGATTGTATATTAAATGTTGTGTAATATGAATGGATAATCGTAGGCTATGTGCTGTGATCTGTGGAATGAAATGTGGGCCTAGTGTTGTATATTATGAATGAAATGTGTGATTGGGGCGTATTAGCGCCATTGTAATATGCTGTGAATGGTTCAGCGATATACTGGGGGTGTGGAAGATAAGGACGGTAGAAATACCTCGGGGAAGAAAGAGTGGTGGTGACACTGACTGTGGAACGGGTGCACCACGGGCCACACACTTTCTTCCTGACTAGACCTCTAACCATTACATTTGCTGAGCGACCCGTGACTGCCCACATGGTATCCGTGAGGCGGGGGTAACCGACAACTATTCATGGTATAAATCTGTGATCACAGTGCCACAGTGAGTGTGGCTGGCGTGCGTATGCACGGGTTTATGAATTGTACTTATGGATGTGAAATGTTGTCGATGCCATGAGTGCATCGGTGTTAAATTGACATGAGCTGTGTGATAATGTTGCCTGTGATTGTATTTGTTTAATGTATCAAAAATGTGCTAGAGGTGAGACTCTATGCTGACTGTGTGTTTTTGGGTAGTGTAGAGTACTCACCCTTACATTCATTTTTCAGGTAATCAAGACGATCAGCACCAGACTTAGTGAAGGGGTGGATGGAACTGCTATAGGACTTAGGATATTATTTCAAAAACTGTTATATTTGAATAAGTCCTGTAGCAACTGTTTGATATAATTTGTAACCCCCTTTTCTTTATTTGAAATGGTTGATGAAACTTGGATTAAAAATAAAAATTTTATTATTTCAAAAATTTACAAAATTCCTTATTTATTGAAATTAAATTTAAGGTGTTACACGGAGCATTCACCAACCTCATTTTCCCAAGATTTTACAAATCTTCTTTGAACTCTATACCCCAGTGTATCTCTGTAGCTATCTAAACTTAGCACCAATATTTCTTATTCTTTCCACACCCTTTTCACAGGGCAATGTGTCATAATATGTGAGTCTTGACCACATAACTCGGTGTATTACAATACACATATTATGAGTACACTCTCTAGTCATACCACAATACCTGTATTGCAATCACATCCACTCATATTCTGACTCCTGTATTATAATCATTTTTCTCACAATTCCACCATCATGTTGCGTCACACAGAAAACTTTTTCTTTATTCAAGAATATTCAAACACTTGCATCAATAACATAGTTTGGTTCATTTGGCATACTTTAACTATCAAACAACATCTATACAATCATATCATTCACCACAGCAATATCATCAACTTAATTCAACAAAACTCAACATACCTCAATTATCAATAAATATTCATCCAATACATAAAATCATCACACAATCAATACAATGTGCCGGAGGTCAGACACTTCTGGACTCAGCCCAATCGTATAATCCATCATCCACATGTTCTTAGTAATAGTAATAGGTCATTTATCTTAAAGTTTGGCATTGTCTGTTATTAATAATAAGTCCATCATTCCAAAAAAAAAACATCAAATGACACATCCTAACTATTTCTAAACATTGTTTGCTAGTAAAATTGTAGTATTCCTCAAGACAGCTTTATTTAAAGCTTCTATTACAAGTTACATTTAAATAGTTATTAAAATAAGTAAGGTTTTGTTTCCATTTTAAACTACCCAAGAGAGGTTATGGTTTGGATCAGCTCCCCCTTACCTTAGAATGGAGACTCACTACGAAATCAACGGTAGAAACACCTATTTACACGGATTCTTGCCCTAAATACATGGAATAGTCCATGAGAAATCAAGAAGGATGAAGAAAGAGTAAAATCCAAAAATCCTAACTCAAGATATTCACCTCCAAATATTCCAAACACAATTCCAATCTTCAATCGAGGGCACAAATGGCTTAAGGGGCAATTTAATCAGTGAAAAAAGCTAGGGATTAAGAGAACCAACGAGAGAGAGAAGAGAGGAAAGTGAGAATGAATTTTCCCTAACCCTAAACTCCTTAAATACACAAGGTGCTGTAACATTCTCGCTACAGCAAAAATCTTAGAGGAAACTACACTATGGTTTCTGCAGAATCTCGATACAGCAAGACCCTCTCGCTACAGCGAGACTGCACCCAGAAATGTACCTTCCACTGTTGCCCTCTTGCTGCAGCGGGGAAACTTTTGCTGCAGCGAGAACGCAACAGTTTCACTCTTCTCTCCCAGGGCCTTCTCGCTACAGCGATAACCCCCTACAGTTCACCCTCAATTTATATTTCCAACCAACTTCAGTCAATCCAAATCAACACTCATATACATTTATCTATATACACAAGTCCACATCACCAATATAAATCAAGATGTACACCTAATTAACAATACACATACTTATATTAATAATTAATTTATTATTACCAAAAATTCAGGGTGTTACACTTAAGTTTTAAACAAAATTGGTTGAAGTCAATTTGGATAGCAACTCATTCACTTACTCTTCAATCATTGTAAGTGCTTCAATTTTGGTCATTGTTGTAACACAACAACCTTATTTGCCTTTTCTGAGTAAAACTAAGTCCCACAACTACATGGTGGCTGTATGACATTATTCCTTGTAACATTATCTTTCCAAGGAGCTATCGTTGAGTTCAATTTGGACGTCATATCATTTAGTTGTACTCTATTTTGTAAGTGTATCAAAACTTGAAATATTTGGTGGTTGAGGACTAAGTACCTTATAGTATTGATTCTATTTTTAGCTAACTAAAATTGGTTAACTTAGTTAAAAACATCTTCTAATGAGCTATTTGTCTATATCCTTGATAAAGGAATATATCGGTACATCTCATGCTTCATTTGGATTCCAAATGTCTGAGGTTCAAGTACAATTGCAAGAATCATCTGAAAAGCACAATTTTAGGTCCCGTTAAAAAAGATGGGAAGTAGAAATAAAATGAGATTGGAAGGGGAGCATCTTTTTCTTAGAAAAATAAGTTACTCTCTAAGGTGAAAGAGGGGGAAAACTTCTATATGACTTGAGTTAGGGATTAAGGGGATGAATTAGAATATACTTATTTAAACTGGAAATGTTGTGTATGGTTGAAAGCTCTTGATAATTTCTCACTCTCTTGAGTTTATAGACACATTATATTTGAAAATATGATTGACATGTTTGCATATGTTGTTGTGGTGCCTATATGTAAGTTAAATTATGTGATTGAATGCTAAGTTAAGTGAAATTTCATGGTAAGACTTAGGATACTAGACTTAGCGAATACTAAAAGGAATGGAAATTGAGTTTTATGGCAAGATAGTAGGTTTACTACAACTAATTTGAATGAACTAAGCTATAAATTGACACATATATTCTATTACCTAAGAAAATGAAATTAAATCATTCTAGACAGAAACTCTTAGATATTCTATTACCTAAGCTATAAAATGATACCTTTAGTAGAAAAAGGATACCTTTAGAGTAGATTGTTGCTTAGGTAATCTAATTAACTACTAAGTCCTATGATTTTGAGTCATGCTAAGCTAATTTCCTTAGTCCACAAATTTAATTAAAGTAAGAAATTGATGATAATCAGGAATTTGAATAAGTTAATAGAATTGCACCCTAATAAGTGTCTAATTAGAGGATTGAATTAACTGTTATAAGGAGATTTAAATAGACTTAACGTAGAGTGCATATATGAATAAAATCTACACTTGTTGGTGATGATTAATGCAAGATTGAATTAGAAGATTTGGCTATTTTCATATGCATGAGTCATGCACACATAATTATATTTGAATGTGAATGTGTTGATTGAATGATTTTAAACTCTTGTTTGGCTCATCCGCACATATGAATTGATAACTCATAGTTAGTTGAAATCATGAACATAACATAGACAAATGGATTGAGACCTCATTTGCGATTATGAGACCCTAAGAAAGTATGATGCATTAGTGAGAATGTTTGAAAAGAATTGACATGTAAGTGATAAGTCTGTAATTAGGCCCTCTTTTGCAGCTCATATATTCATATTTGACCCTTATTTTATTTGGGTTTTACACTAATTTATATATTAATTGTGCAGTTTAGTATAAAGAGGCTGCAAGTAGATTTTGGGTGCATTCTGGGCCCAAATTGATGAAAGATTAGAACTTCACAACAGTCAGTATGCCCAGACCCATTCAATGAGCACGGGGTGCTTTGAGCCCATGCACGGTCGTGCTTAAGGCCTTGCACGACCGTGCTCATCTGTGGGAAGCCCAATTATGAAGAGTTTTTAGGGTTTTCAAATCCTATAAAAGGGAAGATCTCATGCATTGTAGAGGGACCGTTTTGATATCTTGGCTTTGGCTCTAGAATACATCTGATCTCGTCTCTCTTACACAGGATCCTTGGCACATGCTTGGCGAGACTTAGAGCTTCAAGCGATCATACTTGAAGACCGGGAACACATCTCATACTCTAGTTTGCTATTTCTTTTGATTATGGCTTTGTTTATGATTGTTTTAGTTCTTTTCTTTAGCATGAGTAACTAAGTCCATAGCTAGGGCTATAAGAACTATTGTTCATGAATTTATGGAATTTTTATATTTGAATCTAAATTTGATTTCCGCTTTATGATTAGATTTTATCCTATTGCGCTTCTTTCTTAATCTTAATTCATTATATCGTCAGACGACCGTACCTCGGTTAATTAATAGATCTATAGGGTAAAACGAGACAAAGAATTAGGTGGACCAAACTAATCTTTCTCTTTTAATCGTTATTAAATTAACAAGTTCGTAAGCTCCTAAAGCTTTCTTATATTTATGTCTTGCATGACCATTGGGGATATTAATTTAGAGAAAAGAATATTAATATTGCATGACCATTGAGTATTAATAGTATTCGTATGAATGATTGGTAATCACAAGGAAATCAGATTTAGAGTTAAACAGAAAAATAACATAAATGATTGAATGAAAAAACTCATATGCCTTAGGTTCCTCTCCGATAAGTTTAACCACGACGTGCATTCTATTCCTTGCTTTTAGTTTTATAATTAATTTTATAAATTCTTGTTTTTTAATGAATTTTGTAACTTTGAAGCTTAAACAATTGAATTAGAAAATTCTTAGTAATTTAAAATCAATCCTTATGGGACGATAATTTGGGAACTTAATTTAAGAACCCTTTATTACTTCTCGATGGATACACTTGCCCTTCGAACAAGTTTTTGACGCCGTTGCTGAGGATTGCTTTTTCAATATTAAGAAAATCTTAAATTTAATTGATTTAAGCAATTTGTGTTTTATTTTTTATTTTTTTTGTTTATTGTTAATTTTTTTTATAATTTTTGTATTTATTTTTTTTTAATTTTTTTAATTTCACAATTTCTTTTAATGTATGCTCACTCGTTTTAAGTGCTCTACAACTTGTTTATTTGATTCGGAGATTGAGAGAACAGCGCGTAGACAAAGAAAAGAAGTGAGAGAGCAAAGAATGACAGAGGGAATGAGATCAATTCAAGATTACATGACACCCACTGCTAGAGGCACCCCTGGAAGCATCGCAGCCCCTAGTGTGGAGGCAAATAATTTTGAATTGAAACCAGCACTCATAACCATTGTCTAGAACTCTATACAGTTTGGAGACATGCCTAATGCAGACCCCAATTTACATCTGACAAAGTTTCTCCAATTGACAGATACCATAAAATACAATGGAGTCTCAAACAATGCTATTCGACTCCGTCTTTTTCCATTCTCGGTATCTGAAAAGGTGAATGCATGGTTTTCCTCACTCCCAGCCAACTTCATTAGAATTTGGGAGGATCTCACTCAACAATTCTTGGG